CTGTCACAACTAACACAATGCCTCACCACTTCCCCACACACTGTCACAACTAACACAATGCCTCACCACTTCCCCACACACTGTCACAACTAACACAATGCCTCACCACTTCCCCACAGGCTGCGGCAGTCATGTGAACTGCAGGCTGAAGGTGCTCAGTTTCCAACCTCCTTCCAAGTGAATCCTTCACTGCCTCATAACTCACAAAGAACAATGCAGCTGAAATTAAAACAAGATAACTTAAACATTGGCGCAGACTACATATTTCGACAATTGTATTTTGTTTTACTAATTTTAATCACATTTACCTTCAATGACATCAGCTAACAGTTACATGATTACACTCTATTTAACCACTTTTGGTTAGCTTTCTGACGACAATCTCAACCGCATTCTCATCTAACACATTTTATCACAATCTTGAAACCACATTTTCCTTTAACACATTTTATTAAAATCTCAACCGCATTCTTATCTAACACATTTCCCATGTGTCCTAATATGTCACTTACATCCAGGTGCAGAACCTACTGCAGTTGCCCCTATACCAGCATAGATGCCTCTGAAGCCACCAGTTTTAAAGAAACCTTGTTCACTCTGCAGTCTTGTCTTTACTGTATCAATTGGGAACAAAGCTAAGTCCACACACAGCCCAGCTGCTGCTCCAGCCTGAAATATCATCAAAACATGCACAGACTTTAATATATTCAGATAGCAAAGCATGTGCTTATTCTGAAAATACATACAATTTTTATGTTTTAAGCAACTGATTATTTCTAAATCCTGCCATCATGCTGTAGGCATACATAGAATATTGCAGGATAATGACACTCAGCTTTAGACCCAAGGTCACCCATCATGCTATAGGCATACATAGAATATTGCAGGATAATGACACTCAGCTTTAGACCCAAGGTCACCCATCATGCTATAGGCANTATGTATTCAATGTTTGGAGATTTAATAATCATATTGGAAATGTAATACATGTTTTTTTTATTTCCGAAGGTTGGGGATAGACTTTCCCCAAGGTACAGGCAACATCAATCCCACACCGCGTCGGGGTGTCGTCGCCGATTCGAGGCGGACGGCCGCGTCGCGTTACAGTATATATGTACAATACAACACTTCACAATATGTCAAAAGACCACAAAATACACAACATTTTCTACCTGAGGCAAAATGCCATAAAACCCAGTATCACCACGTACGTGTACATTATCATTTTGATTTTTTCTGACGAGAATCATATTTGTAAGGCCTAAGCTAATGTTAAAATGGCATACAAAGCGACACGGCCGAAGTACCTGGTGATGTCGCATGGACCTCGAGAAAATCGGACATGATCGGATCAGCGAATGACTCGTGTGGCGCATCGGGTATCTCATCGCCAAAGTTTGCTTCAAGTGGTGCTTGCTGTGGCTGTTGAATTGTTTGCCCATCCGGCAGTGACCCACTGCCCTTTATCTCTGGGTAAATATGGGAAAAAAATTAAATATACTATACGCTCTTATGAGGATTACACGTTTACACAATGGGTAGAATTGATATCAGTATTAACAACTTAAACAAAAGCATAGTACTAAACGTCATTCGTTTCGTGTGGCTGAATATAAACTAAAGGAGACAAACTGTTAATACAGGTTAACATATAAATACACGTGTTTAATAATTTAGTTAAAAACGACTAACGCTGCATATTATTTACATCAGAGGTATTCAAACATGCGTTATACATCCCATAACTTACTTCCCTGGCAAGCCTGAATAAATATCATTTTCGGTTTGCCCCTCAGGCCGGGACAGTTCTTGTTATTCAAAATGGTCTTAATATATTTGTAGGGCAATTGATAGCCATCCGTTCCATAAACAGCACCCTTGGTACCATGGCTCAGTAGAAACAAGATGAAAGAATCGTAGTTCTTGTGATAGTCTCTTCGACTTTCTTGTTCTATTTCTTCCTTCATTTCCTTAACACATTAAAATAAACGAAGATGTGACATAAAAACATACAGTGTACTTCAAACAAAATGCCACGCAATGACTGCAGAGACGTGGTATATACGGAATTGGGTTATCAACAAGAGTGTAAAGCAAAATGGCAGCATCAATTTAAAATTGGCGCTAACAGAGAATGTGAAAGGCAGTAGCCACCGAGGACGGACATACATGTATGGCGGTATATTTGTAGATTATACTCCATGTTTGTCTGTATATAACTATACCATGCGTCTCTCATATAAATACAAATACATGCCATGAACGGAAACGAGTGAAAAGCTTCATTTTAATAGAAAAGTATATTGCAGTGAAATAGATAAACATTATAAAATGTGACCGAAATGTTTGTTTGACAATACTTGTTTTGAATCAAAAGGTTCAAGAATCAATCGTATTATCTTTGTGTCACTGATAAATATATTTAGATATCACCAAAATGTATGTCAGTCTTGGAAGCCTAAAAGCCATTTGGCTTTTACGATATTCATTCTATTACAAACACACAATCATCTCATGAATGAACTCACATTTGCAGTCAGGTCATTGACAACGTCTGTCTCATAATGGAGGTAACTGAAGAGTTTCCTCAAGGCATCAACATCTACCTCGGTACCATCACGTTTTGGAAGCCAGTCCACGGAAAATGTCTTATTGTTGATGATGAGTGCACGACCCCTTGGTTCGGAATTGTTCTTGTACTGAAACGCACATATACACCGTCTTTATGTGATGTTCATAGCAAGTGTAACAGTGAAAAGTGCGCATTTATGCCTGTGTGTCCGATTTTCCTGACGATTGTGTATATACAAGTACATGTAATTCCGTGGTCTTACTAAAACTTGTGCAAGTGAGGATAATGCCCAGCAAACACAACGTTACTATAATGTTACCAAAACGTTTTGGACATATGTTATGGTATCGTTATAATAACGTTCTGTGTTTGCTGGGTAGTACTTAGACACAAACGTATTTAAAAGCTCACAACTTGCCTCGTTTTCAGGACACCTGACTGCACAAGGATCTTGATACTCTGGGACTGCTAAAATGGTAAGAATGGCCTTATATATATTATATATTGTCACTTGGCCTTTAGTGTCCCATCAAAATAATTAATCTCCTATCAAATGCCGTACTTTTTTTTCGAAATCTAAGTGTCATTCTGAAATGATTATCAATTTTGGTTTTATTTCTCATTGACATGTGGCTAATGACTTGTTATCACAGGTTGCTGACTCATTATACAGACTTGCTATTTAATATGGCATATTTTAGTTTCAAAGGTATACCTATAGGTAAAAATGCGCTTTTTATTAAAAAAAAAAACTCGGATCTCATATAAGATACCTGACTGGAGAAGTGTGGAGTAAGGTGTGTCGCTACCAGTTAACTGACTACCATGCCTGTTGCACTGCTGCTTTGTTTAATATGCAGTGATTTAATTGGGTATTCCTCCTTTGGGCTGGTCAAAGCTTGACTTTAGGGAAGCATTCTGTCAAAAAGTATCCATATGTCGGCAACTACTGAATCGAAGAATTTGAATTTTTGCATGCAAATGGTCGGTTTTGCAGTCCATAAAATGAGTTAAGTAGTGTTTTACAAAAGTGACAATATGCGCAACAATGGCGCGATAAAACAAACATTTCCAGACAGATCATTGTGTCAGACGAAATGGTGTGCACAGTTTTGAAAAGTTACGCCCAGGCTGATTTACCTACACAGAGGCAATGCCCAATGTGTCGACATCTTACCACCAGGGTACAGGACTCACTGTCCTTCAGGAAAGGCTGCTGCAACTAAACAGAAACCACCCAGTCCGTTCAGACCAAGGGGCAATTTGTCACCAAAACGCGTTTTTCAAGGATCTTAGCAAACTGGTTTCAGCAGGTTAGGATACCAAACGACCTCTGAGGAAGCCAATGTAAACAGCAAAACACCGTCGTCTGTTTCTCTTATGTATTGGGGACAATGACTGTTTCTGGGTAGAACACTGAAACCGTGTGTCTTTCTTTATTGAGGTCAGATTTAACCTGTACCGCTTAACTGCTCAAAACAGAGTTTACAGACATCCTGTCGAGGCCTACGACAAGGCGGGTGACACTTCTGAAGTGACTAGAGTCATTGACAGCGTCAGTATTTTGAGTGAATACCACATTGGTGCCAAAACACCAATGGTAGTCATTGATGAAAACCTGAACCAGATCAAAAAAGATAAAGGAATAATCTGGGGGCCACTAGACTGTCATTTGATAGGGGGTACCTTAGGAACAATTTTAATTTGCACGACGAAATAACCGGTTCATACAGAACCAAGGAAATGAGCACCTACCTTGGTCATCAAAATCGTCATATTTAAACCACCTAGTCAATATGTGTGTAGGTCATTACTCGCCGAATCAACGGCCTGCCTGTCCTTCAACAAATCTAAACCAAATTGGATAAGTTTTGATCGTTGCCTGGAATTTTATTGCAGATTAAACTCTAAAAACATATCTCTGGTAGCAGCAAGATGAGGTCCGGAATAACAGTCACCATTCCTGTGACTAGACACTGACATGATGATCCTTTGTGGGGCGTGTAACTCTTTTAAAGGCGATAATTTGGGAAATATTGAGATCCAAAATATCGCTTTCAATGGTTGTCGTATGACACAGAATAGGCAATGTATTTTTGTTTCCTTCACTGGCGAATTCAATTAACGAACTGATGTCACAATGACAACAAATAAGTTATCAAAAGCTATTTAAACACGATTTTAATCCTTACTTTCATTTACCAGCCCGCAAATAGGAAAAAAACTGAGGAATTATGATTTGGAAAAAAATATTCCATATTAAATGACAAGTGTGTATGTTTAAGTAGAATCTGAAATCGATTTTTTACCTTTTGTTGCTAATAAAATGTTACAAATAAGTACCTAGTTCATTTAGGAAGGGTAGATTAATATCAATTTTCCCATTAATTTCTAATTAAGCATTTTTTTTAATCTATCGCACTAACAATTGAGTATTCATAAGAAATAACTAACATTGCATGTCATTAGTGTTACTGTAAAAAAATCAATATTTTAAAAATATATGTCGAAAATAGGAATATCCTTCCAAATATATACTAAATACCTTTTTCTGGGTAAATGGTTTTAGACATTTAAATTAATCAAACATAAATTTTCTAATGGTATTTGGTTTCAGACATTACATGTTGAGTAATCAGGGATCTTTTTAAAATGTTAAGATCTGTGGACAAATTAACACGGAATGCATGTTACATGTTAAAAACACAACAACAATACATGATATTTCAATCTGCTTACCGGAAAACCAAAAAAGATATAGCCTCAAATCTACCGACACTTCAGAGTTCTCTATGGAACTGCCCGTTTTGACGTCTTGTGCATTTATTGGAATATTGGGTCCGTCATTTTTAACCTGATACAGTAGCCAAAATCCATCCTGGGGCAGTATGTGTGCAGAAGAACTGACAACTCGTTTTTAACTGTTTTTCTTGCTTCTGAGTTTATGTGAAGTTTTGGAGGGATTCCAGTAGCATTAGTTATAAACAGCTTTATGGCCTTATCTTTAATAGCGAGTTGCAACGACTGTTTATCTGCCAGGCGGAAGGAGGCGCTGTCAAACCCGACAACCGGGATATTATTTTTAAATTTCTGAGTTTATACTTCCTTAGAAGATGGATGATCAGACGATGAAATAACCCAGTAGGAAACAGAATATGGGGGGATCTGATAAGCAAATGTTTCTGTGGATCCGTCTTATTTGCACTGTTATTAGATACCAGCATATTGGTCACAACAAATCGTCTCTTCCCATATCCAGGAAGTGGGTTTTCAGCCCAGAGGAGGATTATATCAGGGCAAAATTAGTAGGCTTGTTAAGGACCAAAAAATGGCCAAACGCTGCATTTTATAGTAAAAATGTCTAACTTGGCATAAATGTTCCTTGGGCAAAAGAAAAATTTTTATCCAAAGAGACACGCTCTATCGATGCATAAATTAGCATAAATTATGCAAATTAGGTGCCAAAGTATGTAATATATCATATTCCATCAGTTTTTGGCCTAGGAACATGTATAGAATTTCAAACCTGACTAAATTAGGGACAAGGAACCCATCTTTGATCATTTGGAAGCAATTGGTGGCCATTTTGTGCCTCAAATCCAAGATGGCCGCCACCTGCCATTTTGAAAGTGGACATAATTATGCTATTTTATGTTGAATTTTGAAGCGTTTGGCCTATATATACTTGATATGTATATAGATTCCTACTATTTTGGGGGTGCAAAAGTCAATTTCAATATTGTTCTGGTGATAGTAGGTGATTTGAAGGGACAAAGAGGGTGTTTTAAGTGCCTACCAAGATATGTGTGAACGCTGCAAAACCATGGATATTGAAAACCCGTATTCAAATATATCTCAATGCAATTTTTTTTATACACCATCGCTATTGGACTATATTATGAGCAAAAAAACACATATTTACTATTATGGAGGCCCCTCGAATCCAAGATGGCCGCCAAAAAACATTTTGAAATTGGGCATAATTCGCTTTTTGAAAATATATGTATTACATCTTTGTAAATGAGTAATTATTTTATATATCATTTTCGGGTGCAGAATACATTATCTGTTTCATAATATGTGAGTACAAACTATTTTAGCCTCTAAAATCAATATGCATGTAGGCTTAAGTTGTCAAATAGACTTACATGTGCCATGTAGTCTAATTAGAACAAAATGTTTTATAAAATCCTAAAGAGCTTGAAACAAGTGTAAGAGACCAAATTGGCTTAATTAAAGGTAAAGAACACATACTTGGTGCTTTGGAGTCAATTTATTAGCCATTTTGATCCTAAAATCCAAGATGGCCGCCAGACATAATTTTGAAATACGGGTAAGGCATCACTCATCAATTTGAAGCTATTGCTCTTACACTAGCATGTTATACATAGTTTCTTTTCATTTGAGTTGTAGAAGTCATGTGTCTTATATCTTCTGAGATATAATACAAAAAGAAAATATTACAAGGCTCCAACACCAATACAGGCTTACGTCTTCACCTTCGCTTGTATACGTCTTGAAGTCAAATTTGTGGGAAAATATGTTATATAACAATTATAAAATGGTTTTGCCAGACATAGATTAAGTGCAAGAGACCAGCATGGCTTATTCGACTTTATGGTGACTACTGTTAGCTATTCTGTTGTTCATATCCAAGAGCCTATTGCTATTTTAAAATTATGGCATAATTTACCTTTTTTGAGCAATTGGACTTTCATGTGATCGTAATACATCAATCGTTACTATTTTGGAAGTACATAATTAATTTCTGGTGTTATTCTGGTGACAGAGGATAATAAAAAATGACATAAGGTGTTTTAAGATGATTCCAAGATGAATTTTCCTGTAGTTGTCATATACTGTAGATGTTTTGTGCTTGTTCGTCCATTAGAAACAATGAGAACTATGTAGTCGCCTTATGTAATTCTATTGGTAGTGAGAAGACTTGTCTGGCCAAATCATGCAAGGAATGATCACTGGCACTGTCAACTAGGAAAAGAGGCTGCTTCCTCGACTTTTTTGCTTTATCCCTCTTGCCTACCAGCGCTGCTGCTGCTTTCTGGTTGGTTTTGCAGATTCCTTCTTTTGTGTAAAAATACCACTTTCCTCTGATGCAACATGTTCTCATGCACTGATGTTTCTCTGGAAACTGGATTTTAAAATATTGTTTGGCTGTTTCTCATAGGACACTGACAAAACCTCAATTCTTACTGGCTGTTTTCTTATTGACCTACCAGAGCTGATCATGCATTTTTCTTTTTGCTGTGCTGCTGGATGATTTTGCAGACAAGACCTGGAGATATTTCAAAGCAAAGTCCATTTGCTTGCCTTTCACGGGCATTTACGCATCAACATAACTAACCAAGTTCCTTTGTATTATAAGACGACACATTTTTCACCCTTCAAATCTTCTGGACTATATTTAACATGCAAATGCAAGCCCCAGTAACTGGAACATAAATGTACATATGGCTTTTTGGTTCACATTGACCAGTAAAAGATTAATAATATAATACCACTATATATATATATATATATATATATATATATATATATATATATATATATATATATATATATATTGCTTACCTTTAAATTATTCAGTATCTTTTAGTGGATGGTCCCTTAAGATAAATCTAGATGATATATATTGAGCATGTGGTCCGGGTTCCACATTTTTTTAACAGACTCAACGAAACTCATCTTGGAATTTTTTTTACAACCTTATATTAAACCCAATCATTGTTTGTGATCAATATTTTGATTGCTTTGATTTTTTTTTGTACATTTAGTGCTGATTGAAAGAAGAATCTTACAGTGACTTGAGGATGAAAGATGTTCATTTTTTATATGAGCCCCTGCATCAGGCATGAATATAAGGTGAGATATATGTGAAAATCAGCTTGTCTGAGGGTTGGGCTCGATATGTACTCAAACTAAATAGGGATATTTTCAGTCCATATACTAGCAGGTGGCCATGTTTATTCCTGCCATGAGGTAGCTGCTACATGCTTACATACGATGGCTAGGCAGATAGAGTGAAACTTTTGTACAAAAAGAACAACCCAAAATAAAATGTAGGTCTTTGAAAGGAAAATAGGGGTTAGAGTCAGTTAAATATTTTCAATTACAACCAAAAAAAAGATAAGTCATTTTCATGTAATGCATGCTATCAAAAAAAGGGAAATATGGATAGGAAATAGAGTCCAAATACAGTAAGTATATCTTACTTTCATTCTTATTCCTTACGATTAAGAAAGATTAAATGTAAAATGTGCGTCAGATATTCAAAGTTATATTAATTATCATAATAGCAGATGTACATTGTGGTGGCTCCTACTTTATATAGAGACCCATGTTGTAATAGACCTCTACACATAAGGGTGGCTTGACCCCACCCCCTCTAATGGGCATGAAAGTACATTTTGTACAACCAAAATTGTTGTGTAAATGTCCCCTTTTATGTATATTTTGCATAAAAAGTAAAATAAAAGGCTCCATCACATACACCCTAGTTTTGTTACTTATGACCTAATCTTCCACACCAGCGCTATTCATAATAGCTTTGCAAAGTTTTTTTCTTCTTTTTTTTCACCAAAATGCTATGAATGGCTTAATTCGTCAAGGAAACCAGTGAAAACCTATTGACTTGGTAAAAAGTCCATACAAGAGACCAACAACCTATAATAATTACTAGAAGTTTGCCAGATATAGCAAGCTAGCCAATATACTGATGAGCATCTGCTAGATGGCCAGTTTTAAATCACTGTATGTAA